GGCCCGCCCCGCCCGGCCTGCCGTCGCGGCAGCTGTCTCGCAGACCCCGCGCGGCCCAGGCCGGCGACACAAAGGCGACCCTCCATCCCATAGCCGCGCGCCGCCCGGGTACTCACCGGGGGCTCGACCGCTGCGCTCGCGCTCCCTCCCGCACCAAGTGACGAACGTCGCCCGCCGCCCGGACGGCCACTTCCGGGGTCACAAGACTTCCGCTCCGCGGGTGGGACCGACTGCGCATGAGCAGTGGGTGGGACGGGGAGCTCAGCCGCCATCTTGCGGCCAGCGTCGTGGGCGCGCCCGGCGTGGGAGGGCGCCCTCCGAAGCGGCGGCGTCCAGACAACTGTTGATCTGCGGGGATGCAGCTCCTGGGTCCCCTGGAATTGGAAGTGGCCCAGTCGGGGGCCTGTTCTCTTTGGATCGACAACCCTTGTGGATGGCGTCCCGCGCTTGGGGCCGTCCGGTGATCCTGGTCCTGCGGCCTCCTGGGTTTCCGCCCGGGCACTCCCACTCGTTGCCCTCGGACACGCGGCCGTGGCGTCTCACCCCTGACTGCGACCTTCCTTGCAGGCTGACTCAGATCTTGGACCAGGCGGCCACCTACAATAAACAGTGTCCCAGGAACGCTGCACTGTCCCTTGGACAGAGGACACGGCTCACTGTAGGTCGCTAGAGGCGTCTCGACTGGACATGCTCACACCCAGCCCAGAGCTGTGAGAAGTTCCCCATGCTGCTGGCGTCGCCACAGACGGTTGGCCAGCTGCCCGCCTGGTGGGGAGCAGCGCATGACCCCAGCTCAGCCACACGCGACTGCTTTGTTGTGTCTTGGAAGTGGACATGGCAGGGCATTTTTGGCAAGATACTCATCTTGGCACTTTCTGGAGATCTGCCAGTGTTGAAGGGCTGTGTAAGAGTCGCTTTGTCTGCATGTTATGGATGGAAAGTTTCCATGGCCTAAGGCACCCCCACACACCTTATTAAATGAGTGTAGTTGTTTCCAGGCTTTGGTGCTTGCAAAATCTACTTAGATAAGCCAAGTGCTTTTATTTTTATTTTATTTTATTTTATTTTTTTTTTTAAATGTGATGTTGGAGCCCGGCGTGGTGGCGCACGCCTGTAATCCCAGCACTCCGAAGGCTGAGGCAGGAGGATCGTTTCGAGTTCGAGACCACCCTGGGCTACAAAATAGGCTCACAGCTGGCCTGAATTGCACAGCGAGACCTTGTCTCAAAAAGACAGAAAAAAAAGAAAATTTCAAACATACTTCATTAATTTACTCCTTTGTTAAAATAAACTGTGAGGGCCGAAGATATAGCTCAGCGGCATAAGCGATTGCCTGGCAAGCCTGAGTTCATGAGTTCGATTCCCAGTACCAAAAAAAAACCACAAAAACGTGAAACTTAGCCCCTTCATAGCCACGCCCCCCACATGGAGTATTTGCAGGCATTCCGACCAGAGAATAGCTTGCTGGGGTCTTGCTGTGGTGTCTGCTCATGGGGCTGCGGACCGCACAGCCCAGCCCAAGGGAGGCCTCAGGCAGAGAGCAGCCAAGCACTAGAGACGGAACTTAGTCCCACAAGTCATGACTTTTGCCTTGCTCTGCTGGGCCACATGGGCCTGCGTAGGAGGGTGTATGCACTTGCCCCATACACCAAGGTAAAAGGATGGTGTTAAACCCAGTGGGAGCACGGTGTGGTAGTGCACACCTCTAACCCAGCACCTGGGGAAGCTGGAGGCAGGAGGATCTAAACTGGAGTCCTACCTGGGCCTACCTGCCTCTTCCTCCTTCCCTCCCTCCCTTCTTTCCTTCCTTCCTTTCCTCCTCCCTTCTTTCCCTTCTCTCTCTCTCTTCTCTCTCTCTCTGTCTTTCCAGGCGTGCACTACCACACCTAGCTTAGCTGGGCAATCTTGTAATTTAGGAGACCCTGTCCCATATTTTAAAAATAGATAAAAGGGCCGGGGGTGCTGGGGATTTAGCTCAGTGGCAGAGCACCTGCCTGGCAAGCTCAAGGTCGTGAATTCGATTCCTGGAAGAAAAACAACAACAACAACAACAAAAAAGACTACAGCGATTCTTTTAGCCGGGCGTGGTGGTGCACACCTGTAATCCCAGCACTCAGGAGGCTGAGGCAGGAGGATTGTTGTGAGTTCGAGACCAGCCTGGACTGCAAAGTGAGCTCAAGGCCAGCCTGAACTGCACAGCGAGACAGTGTCTCAAAAAGATTAAAAAAAAAAAAAAAAGGGGGGGGGCAGGGGATGTAGCTCAGTGCAAAGGCCCTGGATGCACGTGCGTGCACACACACACAGAGCAACTTTGCAACAAACCTGTGGTGGTCATTCAACTATAAATATTTCAGCATACGTTATTTTTCTTTGTTTTTTTAGTACATAGCCACAACATGTTATATATTTTTTTTTTTTTTTTTTTTTTTTGAGACGGTTTTGCTATGTAGTCCAGGCTGGCTTGAGCTGTCTTTGAACTAAGGGTGACCATCCTGCCTCTGCCTCCTGAGTGCTGGGGAAATAGACATGCACCACCATGCTCAACTAAGTATGTATTTTATTCCTAAAGAAAAGGGCCCCTGGGGTGGGGATGTGGCTCAGTGGTAAAATTCTTGCCTTGCATGCACAAGGCCTTGCCTGGGTTCATACCCAGCACCAAAAAAGAAAAAAGAAAAGGGCCCTTTTTTGGTGAACAACCCTTGCAACACCACTACCTGCTTCAGGTATCTACAGTTCTGTGATAAATTATTCCCAAGCACAGTAGCTCCTCCTGTCCAAGGCTTGACAGGCCCTCTTGAGGAGCCTCATGGCCCTGCACCGGCCTGGGCTCTCTTAGCACAAAATTTTCTTCCAGCTTCCTGTGACCTGACCTTGGAGACCCTAGAGCAGTTTACTGTGCCCCACTCCACAGCTCCAGGCCCTCGTTTAAGACAGCCCATACTCAAGGCTGGCACACCTGACCACCTAAAAAAACGAAGGACAGCGAGATGTCTGATGTACCCACCAAGACCCTCCTGTCTCACCCTGTTACAGCTTCAGCCCCAGGTTGTAGCTCCTTGCAAGGTGAAAATCTGACCTTGAAGACAGATGCTTCAGACACACACAACACACACTGGTGTGCTAAACAACCCACCTCATTTCCTGACCAAAAGAATCTGTGTGCAGAATAAGGTGGACAAAACAAGCATTTTACAAATTTGGGCAGGGGCGTGGTGACACACACCTGTGATCCCAGCACTGGGGAGGCTGAGGGAGGAGGATGACAGTGAGTTTGAGGCCAGCCTGGGCTACAAAGTGAGCTCAAGGTCAGCCTGAACTGCAGAGTGAGACCCTGTTTCAAAAAGACAAAAGAAACAAAAACAACAAAAAATTTGGGAGTTCTTACATGGCAATGTGTCCCTGATGGAATGCCTGCCCTTGGGAGAATGGTGCCCCTTCCTCTCTGGCACGCTTCCTGTTTCGCTTCTGCTTCCAAGAATTAAGCAGCTTCCCCCACCATACCCTTCTCCCATTATATTTTTACCTTGGAGTCAGCTAACCACGGATTTAATCCACTTAAAATGAGCCAGCTGGTGTCATGGCAGAGGCCTGTCATCCCAGCAGTCAGGAGGCTGAGGCAGGAGAATGGCAAGCTTGAAACTAGGACTATATAGCAAGACAGTCTGGGGGGGGGGGAAGGTAGGATAGTGATCTTTTTTTGTAGGATGGTAATCTTGTAAAGCATCTTATCTTTGCCAATATAATGTCCTAAAAGGATGTCTTGTTATTTTAACTTGCTTTTCTTTCACTTTAGTGCTGGGAATCGAACTCAGGATCTTATGTTTGCCAGGCAGGTGCTGTACCACTGAGCTATATCCATGGCCCAAATTACAATTTTTTTTTTTTTTTTGGTATAGGAATTGAACTCAGGACTTTGCACTTACCAGGCAGGAGGTGCTTGTGCTGCTGATCTATATCCCCGGCCCCTCTTTTACTTTTTTTTTTTTTTTTCTTTTTGAGACAGGGTCTCGCCATGCAGTTCAGGTTGACCTTGAGCTCACTTTGTAGCCCAGTCCAGTCTCGAACTTGCAATGATCCTCCTGCCTCAGCCTGCTGGGTGCTGGGATTACAGGCGTGTGCCACCATGCCCAGCCCCTCTTTCACTTTAAAAGGGTAAATATTTTTCTGTGTATTAGAAATGTCTTTTAGCTGGGCCTGGTGGTGCACCCTTGTAATCCCAGCATCCAGCAGGCTGAGGCACAGGATTCCAGTAAGTTCGAGGCCTGCCTGGCCAACACAGTGAGTTTGAGGCCAGCTTGAATTAGGGTGGGACCTTGTCTCAGAAAAAAAGTCTTTGGACTCTAGGACTCCAGCTGACTCAGGCAGGACATTGCCATAGGATCCAGGCCCTCAGCTTCATTCTTCGATTTTTTTGTGTGTGGACAGATTTCCTGCACTCTTTGTATATGATTCTGGGTAACTATTATAAAATAATCCTGTAAATTATGTGTCCTGTATGGTTTCCCTTGCACACCTGGACTATAATAGCTGGGCTGAGCTACATAGTGAGTTCAAGGCCAGTCTCAACTACATAGACACTATCTCCAAAAAAATGTTTTTTTTTCTAGTACCATGAAAAAAAGATTGTTTCCCAATGTTCAGTTTGTTCTGATTTTTTGGTATTTATTTGTAGAACTTTTTGAAAGTACCCCTTGCCCTGGAAAGATAGAAGCTCATTGTTTTCTGGTACTGGGGACTGAAATTAGGGGTGCTCTACCACTGAACTACACTCCCAGCATTTTTTTTTTTCTTTTCTGAGATAGGTTTTGCTAAGTTGTTGGGTAACCTCTACCTTGCACTCTTCCCACCTTGACCTTGACCACCACTGCTC